CTAAAAAGCAAAATATGTGAAAAAATAATATGGTTATTTTTTTTCCAGGAAAGCCAATGCAATACTTATGTTTCTGATAAACTTTTTATAAAGTGTATTCCTGGCCTTGTGTGTGGATGTGAACATGGATGCAGGTGCCCGAGCCAGAGACTGCTAAAGCAAAAGGAAAAATTCTTTTCTATCACTTCATTAATTTTTGGGGGGAAAGCAGTATAGCATATAACTCTTTTAATAAAGACAATTTTTTTCAGGAAGATATTTCTGCAAACCAACCTTTTCCTGATGGGATTTTCCAAGGCAGAATTGTTTTCCTCCTTTCCCTCCTCCACTGACAGCCCTTCGGGTGAGCAGTGACATCTCACCAACCTTGGCTTTGACACCGCGGCTGCTGCGACCTGCGGCTGCGTGTGGGGCTGGGGAACAACTCAGAAGCCCACAAGGTGCTTGAAAGCCACCTGGTTTTAAGCTCCTGTGTCCCATTCACCTGCTCAAAGCAGGCACTGAGGTATCTGTCCTGCTACACTGAGACTTCAGTGAGGAAAGGAAGCCCTGAGAGCAGGTTACTTTTTTATTAATAAATCGTTGAGCGCTGCTGAAACACACGTGTGCAAACACAGACCTCCCTCTGCTTCCACCCCTCCCGTGTCCATCCCTTCCCAACATCTCAGTGCATTTCAGTGGGAAGGAGCTCTGAAAGCCCACGCTCTCCCTTTCCATTTTCGGGGGGTCAGCGTTGCCGTAGGCTCCGGATCAGCTCCCTGTGTCCGGGCTCGGGTCTGTCCCTGACAATTCCACTCCTCGTTCCTTCTGCTTTGACACCCTCGCCAGGACCCAGTTTCAGGGTCACAGATCCAGGGTGGGCCCCTGCTGCTTTCAGGGCTGTGAGAGGGAGATTTGGGGTCGGAGGTGAATTTTAGTAAAGCAGATATTTTCAATAATCTGATAAATGATCCCTGGAAGGTGACTCAGGTGGGACCTGGGTTTCTTCTGGCCATCGCACACACCAAGTGTCTCATCCCTCAGGTGGCCCCGGTCCCCTCTCTAGCCTCACACCTACACACTGGTCAAGAATTAATAGCATGAAAAAAAGCAACAGATAATTTAAGTTGATTGCTTGTGATGCTTTGTGCAACTGAGGATAATACCACCGGGATTTGCTTTCCCTTCTCTGTGCAAAAACCCCCGTAGTCTCATAATAACCAACGTAATGATTTCCATGTATTTTTCTTCATTAGGTAGTACCCTTCCTGTGGCCGTACAAACAGGCTTTCTTACTTGCTTGTTTATAAAAATTAAAAGCCAGTGGGTGTATCCTAAAAAAAAAAAAAGTAATCTCTTTTAGCCCTGGGTGTTTAGGGAAAAAACCCAACCCTACAGGTACCGTAAAAAATCTGTCGGGCTGGAAATCGCTGAAGGGGACGGGAGACGCTTGTAAGGTGAGCTCGGGTGCAGGCAGGGCTTCTCCTTTTCTATGTAAAATTGTACTTTAAAAGTGATTTTTCTCTCCTCCCGTAGCCCTCCCCCGGGGCCGCATCGCTCCCCCCAGTCGGGTCCGGCGGCCCCGGTGCAACCTCGGGAGAAGCGAAGGGTGGAGGGACCGAACAAATCGGGTTTTTTCCCCTCATTTCTCAGCCGGGTTTTGGTTTCTCCTCCTGCCCGGCCGAGAGCGGGAGGAATCGCCTCTTTCTTGCACTTTCTTGCACGCAAATTGATGGCGAAGAGGGCGACGGAGGCTGCGGGATGCGGTGAAATGCAAATAGGCAGCCTCGGGCTTCTGGGTGTTCATTTATCCTTCCTTAAGGGGAAAAGGAAAAAAAAAGAAAGGGAAAAAAAAAAAAAAAGAAGCGTTTAGCTTCAGAATAAAGACAAAACGGTGCTTGAAAATGAATTGAAAAGAGCCCCTTTTTCTCCGTCTTTTGGTTGCAAGAGAAAATCGCTCCCGGCTCCGTAATGCGGATATTTCACAGCGACATTAACATTCAGCACACGGGGCTCTGCGGTAGGAACGGGATGGGTTGGAGGCGGAATGAACAAAAAACCCATTAGAAAAGCATGACTGTATTAAATTTCCGCTCGGAAAATTGAAATATTTCTTACTTGGACTCCCACCTCTCTAAGATCAGAGAGAAAAAAAACCAAAACCCAACGACAAGAGCAGTTTAGTTGCTGTTTGGGGGATATTCCAGCCCAATGGCACTTCCACGGTGGCGTGAGACCCATCACCAGCGAGTCCGCCTGCGAACAATAAACCTGTTTAATCTTTTTTAATTCTTTTTTTTTAATTTTGTAAAAAGCAATTAAGTCATCTAGCAGAGAAAGATAATGTCGACTCCTGTGGAAAAATAATTATATTTGCCTTTGTACGGAGCGTAAGGCTATAATACAGCGAAAAGCCCTTTTCCTGGCAGTGCTGTAGAGTCAAGAATTTCATTTTAAATTTATTGGATGTCACTACCATGAGGAGTTTTCCTGTTTTGTTTACAGGTCTAAAATTACAGGGGGATGTACAGCAGCACAACACTAAGAGATCACGCCGTCTTAGGTTTGAAAAAATAGTAATTTAAAAAAGAAAATAAGAAAGGAAGACAGGGAGAGAGGCAGAGCTCCCTTTTGTATTTTATTTTAGTTTAGTTTATTTTGGTTTATTTTATTTTATTTTTGGACTCAGATTGGGAAACAAATGGAGTGAGTATGTAAAAAAAATACCTTTGATTCAGCTGAAGGAGAAGCAGGGAAAGACAGAGCAGTCTGGGGTCCCTGTTAATGACATCCCGTCAAAATGCTTGTAAGACCCAAGAATGTTTACAACGTGGGCTCAAGTTCAATGACAAAATCCTTTGAAGGGGGAAAGGGGAAGGGAAAGGGGGAAAAAAAAGAGCAGCCCAGACACTTTGTGCAGTGGGCATGAACTTGAACAAAAGAAAGGAGTCAAAGGCTGGGGAAGGGGGGGGTGTGAGGGAAGGACTGGGAGAGGTGTTCCCACTGCGCCCCTTTCTGCCCTCCCTGTGCTCCTAGGTGGGTCTTTGGGACGTTTTAATTCGATTTAGGGGAAAAACAAAGGAGGGAG